CTGCCGACCGCTGGTAGCACTGCTGCACGGTGGGTGGCAAGAGCTTGGATGTGGCATATGGGAGAGCGGGGTGCGGGAGGGGATGGTGTGTTGCTAGTTTCGTTAAAAGCAGGGGAGGGGGCTGAGATAGGTGCACTTGGTGGCTGTATGGCGTGGTTAGGTCACGTTCTTTTGGAGAAGAGAAGGGAAAGGGTGATGGATGGAAGAGATGTGGAAGTGCGCTCCTGCTATTTATCATGTCAATCTCATAGGTCATAAAAGCAAAGTGAGTATATATATATATACACATATATATGTATGTATATACATATCACTATACATATTACTTATGTGATCTAAGCAGCCACCAAAATCCACGCCACGTAACCACTCAATCCACCCAACCAATTCTCTCTGTATGCCTCCAACCCTCGTGCCCAGAACCCGTGTACAGTACCACTCTACCACTACCCCATCTGCGGCTTCCAGCCTCTTTTGCCGCAGTTGGGTAAAGAAACCCAAAAAAACCGTTCGCGAATCGTATACCGCAGCGGCGACGTGAACCGAGTTTTAGTAATTTTGCATTAGTAATCCTGTGTTGGTTATCAAACGTCCGCTGGACGGGACGGCGCGAAATGCATGATGGCACCGACTATCCTGGTGCGCTTCGCTATTCGTCTTCCGTTGATTTTTCCTGCATCCAGGCCTGCTCTTTCTTGTAGTGCTTTTCCCCCCTTCCTCTTTACTGCTATTTGCAATCTTTACCTCGAACTCCTGACTTGTACCGTTGTTCTCCTTTACTTTGTCCTCAAATCCTGCCTGCGAAGCAACATCTGAGCTCGTCTCCGTCTCCACTATAACAGCACTTTAGAAGCAAGCAATATTTCAGCCCTTTCCCTGCCCCTGATATCCGCTGTGGAAAAACCAGCAGCATGGCCATACCTCTTTTCTGCCCTTCACCCCCTTCCCCCTTTCCCTTACGTGGTCTAGGCAACCGACCAACCCTTTTCTCTGCTTCGAACTCTCCTGCGCGAGACCCGCACACACCACCCTCCTCCTCCTGGAACCTACCCTATCCGCGCCATCCAACGTCCTGTATCACGCTGGGATAAAGATACCCGTCATCAGCTGAAAAAATTTTCCGTAGATCGTGCGCGGCGCCAGCGGGGCTGAGCTTCATTTACCGTCCGAAATAGCTTTGGCAGAGAAGCTAGGGCGCTTCCGGAATACCGGCCAAGCCGAGCCGAGGTTTAGTGTTTGCCTACGAAAGTGCGCACATTGAACTGTTAGCCGTTCATACCGTTAACGATTTGACTACCTCATATCTAGCGCAAAAAAGCATGGTCGCACCGTCGAACCTAGCGTTCGTACCAACTACCAGTATTTTGCGCTCAACAGTTTCTTAACTGTTGCATGATCATTTCCTGTACTTAGGTCAGTGCAGTCTGATCTTATTTGTCAGCGACATGCCACGAATTAGTTGAATCGCAACACCTTCGATTATGGATTTATGATGCGCAGCAAAGAAATTACGTGTCGAATGAAGATCCTTTCCTGAAGATCCCTTCCTGAAGATCCTTTCCGCCTCTTCCTATCTCCAGTTTCTGCTCCGAAACATTTCAGCTCCTTTCCAGTCAGTATTACAGTCCCCTTCCTGATGTGTCAACTTCCTGTGGCATTCCCCATTCTCCCTCCCTGTCACTCACACCTACCCTCGGTCCGCCATTCAAAGTGACTGAAATCCCGTACTGTGGACTAAACAACTGTTTGTGTATTCCAGTAAGTATGGCTCCGGCAACCACTGCTTACTTGCCTATGTACGCCGAAAAATGTAATCTTCAGCGAAATTTTCGACAGTCATCGAGTAGCTCCACAAATACATGCCTTGGTCATTTAGGTTTCCTGGATAAAAAAAATTTTCTTCGCAAACAGTGGCCATAAAACGCATCAACGCAACCAAAATTTTCAAGAAAAACGCATCACACACTTTCAACGCCTAAAAATATGGAAAGCGAGACCAAAGAAAACGAATAAGTCAAAAAAA